GTATTTTAAAGTTATTCTGCAATTACTAAGTTTTGTCTGAAGCTTTCTATATTAGAATAGATTCTTCCTTAAAATTGGAAAATAAAGTGTACTTAGCAGAACTCTTAAGGCAATATAACTATCCTACACTACATCTTGAGTTATGCACATTCACTTGTTTGTATGGAACTCCTCTGATTTCTTGTTGGCTTATGCTTTATATGGAAATAAAGGGTCCCTTTAGTGCCCTAGTGTTGTGTGTCATCAGTTCTGAGTTAATTAATTCTGAATGGTGTTCAGCCCCTTAGAGGTGCTGCCTATAGCTTAAAGTATTCAATGTCGCCCTCAGTTTCCTGGTTCAGAAATGGCTTATCCCAACATCACAGGGAATACCTATTTTTGTATTGTTTGCTGTACATGATTAATTTTCCTCTTCATGTTCACATTGTCTGTCTCAAAATAATTTTTGATCCAACCCCACCTTTTTACACGGAGGTTTGTGCACTGTAATTCAGGAATTGCTGTATTGGAGACAGTTTGGGATTGGAGTAATGAGAGATGTTGTATCTATTCCTAGACACTCATCTTCTAAAGGATGGTCTAAATCTGAACTTCCATATAACTTACGGAGGGCAAGCTTTTAATATATTTCTTCTTTTTTTTTTTTTTTTCCTTGATAGTTTTTTCTGAAACATGAAATAATATGCAGTTATTGAGGGATTTTTACTTAAAAGACAGTCTGTCCTCCAAGCTTTTGTATGTGGCCTTTAGAGCAGACAGTGTTCTTTAGGGCCTTGTGACTTGGAATTTTTTTGTCCACATTCTCCTTTCAGTGTTAAAGATGAGTTGAAAAAGGCAAGTTACCAATCTACTGCCATCCAAACAGTGCAAATATAAGCTGATTAAGATTGTTGACATTTATTTTTTTTGTTAATAATGATGTGATATTTTACCTTTTAGAAGAACATATATCAGAATCCAATTCAAGCGTTCTTGGAAAATGTATATGGTAGATTTTGTCCAGCACTGTATGTAATTTGTTGCTTTCTGTTGTCTGGTTTCAGTTTCTTTTAAAATAAAGATAATTTTTGCGGGGAATTTGCCTGTTGATTGTATGAAGCTGATGTAATGCCTAGATTAACCCTTCTAATGTTTTGCCTGTGAGAATGCATTTGGATTAGGCATAATCCTGCAAGTAACAGTATGAGGTGGTATTGATCAGAAAAGATGGCTCCTGCCTCTCTTGGAGAGGTCCACTGTTCTGTAAAGGTATTAATCTGAAGTAAGTTCAAAGCAGATTAGAAGATGTCTTGCACCATAAGCCCCATTTCTTTCTTACAGGATGGGAGGGAAGGCTCAGGCACCATTTAGCTGAACAGATTTTTTAGAGCTTTCTGCACTTGGGAAGAGATGATGCAAAGAATTAATTATTCTAATTTATAAATTTATTACTAAGCTTTTCCTGTTTGTTGAAATGCCAGAACTAACACATACCAAATCAGTACCTTACCAATAATCTTTAAAAGCAACTGCTATGGGTGGTCCTAAGCCACGCATGCAAAACAGTTCATTGGAATAAATAGCAGCTCTTCTTAAAAATGTGGAGGGATGAGAGAAATGAGAGAGAATTTAGAAAGAATGGGAGGAAAAAAGGTTATTTATTAAATTGAAGACAAGAAAATGTAAACTATTTAAAGGATTCCCCCCTCTCCCCCCATATTAAAGCCTCTGAAGCCATTTAGAAGTGAAACAACCCCTGGAAGAGATGTATGTATTGGCATACAGAGTATTAGTAATATTATTAAGATTTGACTGGAATATAAATCTCCATCCTTCATAGCACAGGAGATGGGAATTTAAGAATACCAGGGAAAACTTTATCTCCTTTCACTATAAAGTTTCTTGCACTTTTGACTGATAAGTTAGTGCCAACAGAAGAGAGATCCTGAATGGACCTCTCTTTTGGTTTATTTTGCAAAGTGTCATAGCGAGAGCTCAGTCATTTGTCCAAGTAAGCTAGTGTGGTAGCTTGACCCTGGCTGGATGCCAGGTGCCCACCAAAGCTGCTCTATCACTCCCCCCCTCAGCTGGACAGGGGAGAGGAAATATAATGAAAGGCTTGTGGGTCGAGGTAAGGACAGGGAGAGATCATTCACCAATTACAGTCATGGGCAAAACAGACTCTACTTGAGGAAAATTAATTTATGTGTATGACATTTCTGGTGGCATTTCTGCAGATACACATCGATACAAGACTTTTAAGGTTGATCCAAAACCTTGCTCCGTCCCTTTTGTGTCCTTTAGCAGCTAAATCTGCTACTCCGACATAGGAATGTGTTAATAACATTTACTGTGTCTTCTACAAGTGAAAGACATAGCTTTGCATTGGAGGTGTAGTTTTTAAGTAAAGAGACTTCTTTGTTAATGTTACGGAGCTATTTTGTGTAACTTGAGAACACCAAATAGAGGTAACCATAACTGTGTCCTGTCTTGTAAAGTGTGTATACATAGTATGTTCTTTCTGGCAGGAAGAAATAATAAGCTGCTTCATTTCAGTATATTCTGTGATTAAACTAAAAATGACACCTGGATGACCAAGGCAGAAGACCAGCACTCAACAAATCTAAGACCTATTGTCCATGAAATGAACTCCTCAGAACTGAAGGATGCATTGTGGATGACTACAGCTGCATTCTGGAGTGGTAGGAGATTTTGAGTTACTATTATATTATCATTCTAGCCAATGCTGCTATTGGAACACCCTGCTTTAAAACAAAACAAAACATTATTCCCTCCAAACCCCAACTCTTCCATTACTTCATGTAGGAAGCAGGCAAATAGGATTTTGACTACTGTGTGCAGTTTTGGCCTCTCCATTTTCAGTATAGTAGAACTGGGAAGGCTTCAGAGGTCAGCAAGGAAGATGAAGCTATGTAAAAGAAATGTAAGTAAGCTAAGTGTCTTTCTAGGAAAAAAAGAACATCTGTTAAGAGTGGAGAAAGGTCCATAAAAAACTGAGTGGCACAGAAGGAATGTTTAGAACTTCCTTGTTTTCTCCTTGTCTACACTTGCCTGAAGTTTGTCTTGCAATACAGACAACTAAGAGATATTAAATAAAGGTAACACAAGACAGGTTTAAAACAAACAGGAGTAGTTTTGGTCTCAGAGAATCTTTCCTCAGCTTTTATTTACTTATTTTCTTTTACAGTTTCTTAGACTGATAGTCTGTTTATGGACACATCATGGTTTAAGTCTAGGTTCAGAACTATAAACCACAGAAGTCTCATCATTTGCTGCTGCAGCTGACAGCAAGGCTCCTTACACCATGGTGCAGATCCTACTGTAAGTCTGAAAATATGTATTGTGGAAGGTTTTAAAAAAAAAAAAAGTCACATGTGCCAAAAATACACAAAGGATTTTGACTTTCAGTTAAATCTCTTCCTTCTTGTACTTCTGAATGCCCTTGGAATAAGGAATTTAATTCAGTTCCCAGATTCCAGTCCATGCAAGCATTCATCCAGACGATATTGATGTAGGTGAGTGAGGGTGGAGAATAACCCAGCAATCCTATCAGTTACGATGGATTTCTTGCTCTGAAAAAGTTTTAAACCTCTGTGATATCCTTTCTCTCTATATATACTACTTAATAATAACCACTACTGTTTGAACATTACTTTGGAATGTAGATAATGGAACATAAAAATTAAATCTTCAGTGATACACATCAGAAATCTTAGCTAAAAGTGTGCAATGTTAAACTCATTTTTTCTTGGTCATATTTTAAAAGAAAAGGGAGAAAACTGGACTTCTTGGTTCTGGATTTTTTCCAAATAGTTCTAAGTAATTGTCTACTCTTGAGGAACTTAAACATACCTGGATGTTTATCCAAATGTGTTTGTTTAGCTTTCCTTTCAACCCATGTTCCCCAGAAGCAGTTGCTTTCTGTCTACTAGACTTTATTTTGGCAGATACAGTGTTACTGTTTGTTTGAGGAAGGTTGAGCAACAATGTGCAAATTGCCTCCTGAGTTTTTGGCAAAGACAGCAAAATAGGCAGCGAGACTATTTTAGCAGGGAGCTGCCAGTATGACCTAATTAATTATTTTTAGAGGACATCTGGAAGTTTCAGTGTATTGCTAAATCAGTCCTCAGCTTTTAATAGTTTTTACCAGAAATCCTCAAACTATCAGCCGCTTGTCTCTTTATGGAAATGCATTCGGATAGCAAGAGCTGCATTCCTTCCTGCCCTGCTTAGGCGCAAGCGATGAAAACCAGATCCGTGCCCTCCATTCGCCGCGTCTGACTAAGTCAGTGGGCCAGTACCTACGGCAGGATGGCTATCAACTAATCTCGCCAAGTTTTAGAAAGTCCAAGGTACTACGCGTGTGCTTAGCTTCCCGCGCTGTTCCTCGGAGCCCCAGGGGAGCTGTTGTTGTCCGGAACCGCGTACAGGACTCGCGGGGAGGAGCACGCCGCTCGCTGGCTTGGGCGGCCCGCACCGCTCCGCCGTTCGCGGGGGCCAGCACCCCGCCTTCCCTGCCCACCGCGGCGGCCTGGGGAGCCCCGGCTGCGCGCTTGGCTCCGCACCGGGCAGGGCGGGAGCCGCGGCTGCCCCTGGCCGCCGTCGTCAGCAGGTGGGCTGGCTGCGGCGGGGCTGGCTCCTGTTCCCGCGGCACCGCCGCCCGCCGCTGTCCCGCCCCGCCCCGCCCGGCGGATCGCCCTCCTGTCGCCGCGTTCCTCGGCAGCGGCGGGGAAGGAGAGCCGTGGGGTCCCGGGGACTCCGCTCCAGGAGCGCGGTGCCGGGGAGGGGGCGAAGAGTCCGGCACCCCTCCGGCCGGGGGTACCCCCGCGGGAGCCCGCCGCCGCCAGCGTGCGGGGCGCCGCTGGCGAAGGCCGCGCGTTGGGTCTGCCAGCACCTTCCGGGGGCAGCGCGGAGGGGACCCGGAGGTGTTCCCGGAGAGCACCGGAAGCTCTCCCGCCCCTAGCAACGGCGGCGGAGCGCCCGTAGCGACAGGCGCAGCCATGCCGGTGTGGCTGCGGGAGTACAGCTGGCGGCAGAGCGGCTCCGCCGTGTACCTCTCGCTGCCGTTGCGCGGCGTTCGGGTCACCCCCGCCAACATCTTCTGCACCGACCGGTACTTGAAGGTGGGGCGGCCTCGCTCGTCTCACGGGCCTTCTGTCGTGCGGCGTCGCTGCCTTGAGATGCGTTGAGCCGGTGGGCCTGTGGCTTGGCGTGACTCTTAAAAAGCACGCGCTTAACGCACCGCGGCCGCGCTGTTAAGCTTTTGTAGTATTTAATCTGTAGTCTCCCCTTGTATGCTGCAGGCTCTTAAATGCCTGTCCCACCAGAGGTAATGGCTTCACCGCTGTTCGTTCTTCTCCACACTAATGCTCTTGCTACTCAATAGGTGGCGGCTGCCTTTTTCTCTCATAAATGGCCTGAATTATATGCATCTACTTATATTATGAACAATAATTCTAAATTTGAGGTCCGTGGCTTCTGTTGCAGTGCTGAAGAACCAACTTTTTCAGTCTCTTTTATCTGGTCTAGTAAAATATATAACCTCCGTACTGGATACTAAGTGGATCAGTTTTGTCAATAGCAGGTCTTTCCTGAGGTTTAGTGTATGCTTGTACTGAGTATTTTGAATATATGAGGTTTAATTAAAAATTGTAAATAATATTGCAAATTAATTATATTTTTATAGGTAAGCATCCCTCCCTTTTTATTTGAAGCCATTTTATATGCTCCTATTGATGACACAAGTAGCACAGCAAAGATTGGAAATGGAATCATTTTCTTCACTTTGTATAAAAAAGAAGTGGCCATGTGGGATTCCCTAACTCTACCAAATGGTAAGTTCCCTACTGTGAAAAGTAGATTGCATGTAAGAAACCCAGACTGTGCCAAAACTTGACAAACTATAATAAGCAATGTGAAACTTCTGCTGCTAGATAACTGCTAAGTTAAACCTTGTTGTTTATTGTTAGAAAGTATATGGAAACAAAGAACATCTACTGGTTCTAGTGCACACAAAACAAAACAATGTTTCTTGTAAAACTTACATTTTGTGTGTAAGCAAATCTTAGTTTTTCTTTTTTAGAGATGGGCTTGTTAGAGACTGCTTTGTGGAATTTGAACTATGTTGCGTTTTCCCAGACAAAGTAGCAAAAGGAATCCTGTTTTTATGAATATGGTAAGTAAGAGTAGAACTTCAGGCCTAAATTACCAAATAGTTTTTATTTGTTTTTTAAGCTAACAAGGAGAAACTGCAGTATCTAAGAGAGAATGCTGTTCTAAAAGCCCATGAAAAGGCAAAAGAGGAGGCAGAAGCAAAAAAAGTTACAAAACAGGAACACAAAAAACATGCTTTGGAGGCCACAATGAAGGTAAGCTTGGAAGGAACTCTACCAGACATATACATGTAAACAATTACGAACTACTCTGGCAGCTGCTGGGTTAAATATAACTTAAAAAATACGGAATGTACTCATCTTTATTACAGTGGTAGAGAACCTTGTTATTATACTTAAAACATACCTATTACCAAATATGAAAATTATACAGAAAATAATACTTAGAAGTTACTATTTTCCATCAGTAATACTACTGAAAATTTTTGGTGAGGAGCGCAGATTTTTGTCAGTTGGGAGGGGTCTACAGTAATGTAGCAAAAGTCTAATCTTGCACTGATGCCAAGGCCACAAAAGTGTTTGGTCATTAATTACGGTCAAAAATACTGATTTTTTTTTTTTTTAATCTTATTTATTCATTGTTATATTTTATATCAGTTGCTGTTCATTGTCATTTGTGTGTGTGTATCTCTGTGTGTGTGTGTGTGTATCTGCACTTTATGTGTATTTTAAGATACGGTCTTTTCTTCAAATTTTTATGTATATAAAATGTCTGGTCACTTCATTTGTGTTTAAAAGGATTTTTTAAAGTATACAATGAAATTTTAAGATTGCATATGCAATTTGGACCAAAACGTTCTGCAGTTAGTGACTTAGGAGCAACGTTGTACCTATTCTGCCTATGTAATAATCTCAAAGAGGAGAGGAGAAATAAGAAATAGTGTATTAAAATGAAGCCATGTATTTTACATTCCTGTATATTCCAGAGATCTGTGTTGGAATACGGCTAGGATTTTCACTGTTTACAAGTAAAACTTACTTCTGAATGTTTCTGGATCATACCTTAGTAATGGTAGTATATAGTTAAAAGATATGACTTCTAAAAGCTAATTCAGAAATCTTTACTCTCCCAATCATTTTTAAGCATCTTTCATAGCTCTGCTTGTATGATCACATTAATGATGATGTTACATTTGGGATAGGAAACTGGGAAAATAATGGTAACTTTTACTTAGTCATCTTACTATTATCAGATGTTACATATCTCATAAGCTTATCATTGAAACAGCTAGAAGAAGCAGAAAGAAAAAGAATTGAAGATCTGAAAGAAAAGGAGCGACAGAAGGTCACTAAGGAGTTGGAGTTATGGAAAAAACAGCAAAAAGATGCTGAGAAACAAAAGAGGGTACAAAAAGAAGGGGAACTATATCAAGTAGAGCAATTAAAGGAGAAGAAAAAGGAAAAAATAAACAAAACTAGGATTCCTAATGAAGGAACTTCTAAGACCCGACTCAAACCTACTAAAGGTTGTATTATTGAAGTGTATTTTATCATTCTTCAAAGTGTGGGTATAACTTTATTCCTAGATGTTTCTAATTCATCATTTATCTTTGGCTCCACCATACTGAACTAATTCTTTTAGTCTGCAATTACTTCAGTGTCTTTATTTTCAGGCAATTTATCGAGCTAAAGCATGTGAGTTCTTAGCTCTTGTTTAAGTCTTTGAAATACAAGGGCAGGTTTTGTTCGAAGCTTTAGAAAAGAAAAACAGAAAGCCTGACAGTGTAATGCAGACTTTTTGAGGTTGGAGTTCATATTACCCTAAGTTACCTAACTGCTGGTTTTCATAGAAACACGCAATCTCCTTCCTCTCTTTATCCCATGTCTTGGCCCCACAGACAGCCAATTCAGACAACTAAAACAACAGAAAATACTTAACGTTTGTTTGTTTTGGTAAGGTTAGTTTTAGCTCTCGCAGTTGCCCTGTCAGAGAATCACATAAGTGACAGAGATAGTGGTGTAAGAGGAGTTTAAGTTCATTTGTGACAGATAATGTAGCCAGTAAATAGATGGCAAGATACAGCAAGAACAAGCATTTTCTGAACCTTCCCTTCAAAAGAACAAGTCTAAACCTTTCTCAAGCTATTAGAGGTTTACTTCTAATGTGCAGAACTTCTAAATTAGGTGTATTTTGGACTTTGGTAGAAAATCAGAAAAATCTCTTTTGCTTCATTTTTCATTTTCAGTATTCCAATTCTTTTCATAGGTTATGGTTCCTATAGCATGTTTTCAGAAAATTTAAAGGAGGAACAGTTACCAGCTCCTCGATCTGCTGCTACAATTAGAATCAACTTTACGTCACGAGTTTTTCCTACAGCTCTGCGAGAATCTTGCGTTGCAGAAGAAGAGGAGGTTAGGATTGCTCTCTGTTTTAGTATGATGCTTCTACTGTCTTCCAAGGTGGTGAATTATTTACCGTGTATTCAGTAAGTTGACAAAAATGTTACCTGTGCTAAGGAATGTTACCTGCACAATAGTCTTACCTTCCAAGGAAGGCAGTCTTATTTAAATTAAGATTTAGAGAAACACGTTTATATAAGAATTATTTTCACCAAGCATGTCATTGTGCAAATTAATAAATAGCATGTTCTGTTTCTCAGGAGGGAAAAAAAAAAGGCAGCAATATTAATTGAATACCTTGAAGTACAAAATTTGAAATGTCTTTACTGTTATATTTAAGATTCTTTAAGTTCTGTCTTCTTAAAAAGAAGCTCACATTTAGCTCTTTTGAGCTCTCTTGAATGAATACAAAGACTCATTTTGGAAGTGCCAAGACAAACAAGCAAACAAAAACGTATTAGTGATGCAGTAAGCTTACTTCTCACATAGTAATAAAATATTTGGGGAAACTTGGAAGTTTTTAGTATCTGACATTATTAAATATTTCTCTTTGTCCAAAATATGTGGCACATAGAATTTTTTTTATAGGGGTGAGCGAAGAGATGAAAGCAAAATCCTTTTTTGGATTTGAATTTTCCTTCAGTAATAATACTTGCACATTGTATATTTACAGTGGCTACGTAAACAAGCAGAAGCTCGAAGAGCAATAAGTGCTGATTTGTCTGAGCTGGAAGATTTAAAAGAAGAGGAGAAGAATCCAGATTGGTTAAAGAATAAAGGAAAGTAAGTTAGATTCCATTTGAAGATGTATTTAAAATGAAATACTAATTATATGGTGTGTGTCTATTGTTTGCTTTTGATATTTTCTATTTATCCTAGACACAGATGGTGAATGATTACATAGTAGAGAATTTATTGACAGCTTATGGGGTTTGAATCTGATAAAGTCATGAGATGCAATTGCTGAAGCTCGTGATGGACAAAATCATTGTGAACACATAATGCATATTCTTCTATGAGGGCAGTTAAGTCAGTTCAATATTATACCTCAGTGGATTTCCTTTCATTTGTACTGTTTATTGACAGGTTAAACATCTGTCTAAAACTTCAGGAATTTGATAAAAATATTGGTATGTTTATATAGCTGTGTTATACAGAAAGGTTTGATTAGGCAATCATAATCAGATACACAGCTTTCAAAATTAGTCCTGTGTCTGCATAGATGTGTCAACCTCTTACTGTTCTTCATTGCTTTTAAGCAGTGACTATTTTTGTTGTGTGTCTATATGCTATGTTGTCAGCATCAAGTTTGACTGAACTTCAGCTATTTTGGTCTCAGAAAAGGCTATAAATGGCCATTTCCAGGGAAAAGCTGCTAAAACTTCAGATTTTTGAAAAGGAATTGTTAACAACAATTAGATATTTATTTTGTGATTTATCACCTTATTTTAAGTGCACATTTCACTTTTTGTTTTATACTTAGCAAAATGTTTGCAACAGGAAACTATCTTGCAGCTGTAAACGCATATAACCTCGCAGTGCGGCTAAACAATAAGCTTCCCCTACTGTATCTGAATCGTGCTGCTTGCCACCTTAAACTGAGAAATTTACATAAAGCTATTGAAGATTCCTCTAAGGTATAAGTATATAGGTTCTCAGACTGTCATCTTATACATGGTTGTGATTTATTACAGTGATGCTTCTCTTTCAAGCAGATCTGTAAATACTTATTATTGCGATTCAAAATTTTTCGATTAAAAATTGATATGAAGCCATGGTCCATGAATGAAACAATGAGAGGAGTGATCTTAAAGGCACCTGATTGATTCAGAGAAAGTTTTCCCAGAGTTACTATTTTTGGAACTATTAAGTACTTGAGGCTTGAAACTTGTTTTTTCTAGTAACTACTACTACAACACCTATGCTTTTTTAGGGCTAGTGGTTTTTTTTTTTTGTAGCATGGTATGTAATATCATGTATGAAAATAGAATACATTATTTGACTGTAAGAAACATTTAATACAGTATTTGTCACGGCAATGAAACTATTTAGCAAACTGTGGGGTGACAGATACAAATCTTAATGACTAGATTCACAAGCCGAATAGTTAAATTTGAATAGTTATTTTCTATTTCTATTTGAATAGCTATTATGTTACTGTATAATAATAGTAATTAGGTGAGAAAAGTGTGTGTAAATGAGAAAAAACCAAAATTACGGAAAATCTACCTCTAAATATTTTGGGTGTTTTCATTTGTAAAGGCACTAGAACTGCTGACACCACCTGTTCCTGATAACGAGAATGCTCGAGTGAAAGCATATGTGAGACGTGGAACAGCATTTTGTCAGCTGGAATTATATACTGAAGGTGAGACCTTGATTTTTTTAAAACATGCATATGGATTTATAGTGACATGCAAGTAATTCTGTTTAGCTCAACGAGACTGCTCACGCCTTTATTTTTTCAGGAGGGACAGTAAAGGAGGCCTACACAATCTATGTCTTTCTTTGTTATGAACCTGTTTACCACATTTCTTTTTTATTATTATTTATTTATTTAATTTACTGGCTAATTGCAATTCCACTTGAAAAATCTTTACAAGTTTTAAGAAAATTGATTGTACTCATAATTTAAGGAGTACAAATTAGTTTTTCCATTGAGGAAAAGGCTTTAGTGAGTTGTGTATCCTCTGTTTGGTCTATTGGGTAATCAGGCTTTCTGTGCATAATGGCCAACTATTGACCATGGCAGCTTGGTGGCCATGGAAGGTATTAGTGAGGAATAAATGAGAGGTCAGAAATGAGGTATTTGCATTGGGAAGCATTCAAATGTAGGATGCAAACTGATATGAAACTAGTTTGCACTAGTTTTGCTGTTCATAAAGCAATGTTTTGTTGGTTTTGAAATTATATTTACGGTATTTCCAACTATAGAACAAATTAACTTAAAATAACCTGGAATATTTCTAAAATATTTGCTTGTGAAGAGCTTAGTAACTTATCTTTGTAAAACGATGTTTGAAACCCGTATTGATAAGCAAAATGTTTCAGTACATGTGATTTGTGTGAAAATACCTCAATTAAGTCTTCCTACCGAGTTCTCCAAGAGTATCAATTTAGTTTTATAAGGCAAATTTACAAGTGAAAGTCAATAATAGAGAGTGAACAATATTCAGAATGTCAGTGTTGAAACACTAAGCTTTTCCCATCAGTTACCTTTTTCTACCTCTGAATCACTTCATCATTCCCTTACAGGTTCATTTGCACTTGGAAAGCTTAAAATAAAATCTTGTTTAATTTTTTTTTTATACTTCCTGTACTCATGGTTTCCTTTTTTTTCCCCTCAAGCTCTAGTATTCACAGTTCATGTCTTTTTTTTTCATGTCTTCATGCACTTTTATTCTGTCATTCAGTTTTTCTCTCTTCTGCAGAACACTTTTGGACACTCCCCTCATGCATGCATGCATGCATATATATGTGTGTGTATATATATATATATAAAATATATAAATGAAGAGGCTCTGTTTTCATATTTCAATGCCTGAAAATGTTTATGTAGTAGTGTTTCCACTAAAATGTTTTGTAAAATAATATAAACATAATATGAATTTGTTTACTGACAAAAGTTAAACCTAATGTCATTCTGAGTCCATCTGGCTCAATAGCAAAACTCAAGATCAATAATTTATATATATGACTAGGGAGCAGTTATTTCCAGTCAGTTGCTAAAGAGGATGGTCTTGCATTATTGACTGACATTCTTATTAATGTATCTATATTAGGTCTCCAGGATTATGAAGCAGCTCTCAAGATTGATCCCAAAAATAAAACTATAGAAAAAGATGCTGAGAAGATTCGACACCTAATTCAAGGAACAACACAAGATTCTTAATAAAAATAAAAAAAAAAAAAAAAAAAAAAGGAATTTTTTGGCAGGGATGCCTTTTGAGGGCTTCAGAAGGAATCTTAGTTCTCTTCAATATGTTGTTAACTAGACATTTTTCTGTTTCACTCAGAACACCTGCAGAATTGGTAAACGATTGGATATATGAATTCCTATTTTTGGAAAGTATGGTATTATAACAAACATATATTTTATATCATTTTGATAGAAAGTTGTCATATTTTTGCTTTCTATGAAATATTGGTGGACTGAATATTAAAACATGCTTTTGGTACTTGATTTAAAGTTACTCATAACTAAATGAAACATTTGTCTGGAAATACCTTCTGAATCTAGACAATGGGTTTTCAAACAACTTCAGTAGCTTCCATATAGTCAACACCTGTCACCTTCTTATCTTTCTGTTCTCCACCAAAGCTGAAACAGTTATGTGTTATATGATTATAGTTACATGCTTTCCTCTTACTGTTCATAGTGTTTGGCACATCTGAAACTAAGACAGTGAGTTTAGATACTCTAATTCAGGCGTCTAATTTGGAAAACCTCCACCTGGAAGCAGAGGTAGATTTTATATAGTGCAGAACACTCTTTTTAACATTAAGTAATGTACATTGAATATTTTCAGACTATTTTGAAACATTTGTTTGGGCTGACCAAACAAGGTAATTGGAAAAATTATAAACCTGTAGTGTTGTATTGTAGTGTAGTGGTAAATTGATCCTGTGATAAATTGTCCTATCAATGAATATGACTGACTTCTTCCATCCTGCTACAGTTAGTAATCTTACAGTGTAGCTGTAAAGCATATTCTAAATAAAAAAAACTTTGTTATTTATGTGAGAATATATATTTTTCTTGAGCTAGTATTTTAATTTGTACTCTGTTGACGTTGGCCAGTATCTCAGGAATACTGGTGTGATTAAAGATTCTCAAAAAAGGGACCATCCTGGTGAGGCTACAAGTGTTGTAAAGTGACATGAAGCATGACAGTGTGCTTTGAAGTCCTGCACCTGTTGTTCTGGATAGTACTGTTTATATATGTGTTAGCATTCATATTACCATGACAACCTGAAACACTGGAATTGAAGTGGTTCTGTTTTGTTAGGCATTCTATCCAAATTGTGACCATTTCCCCTACACTCCTTTCAGTAGCAGTTTTAGCAGACTTCTGAATTTTCCACATCAGTCTGTTTCAGGAATTCCACATCAGGAATACCATTTATGACTGATTTCTGTCTTTAGAAGAAGAAATTTTTTTATGCAGATATATGTTATTCTGTGTAAATTTTATACTCTTGGAACAGGGAGAAGGTGGCAGGCGTTGCTTCCAGTTGCTTTACTTGGAGCCTTGAGACGAGTGCTGAGGTGACTCAGAACTGCCTGGGATAGCTGTTGTTCCTTCTTTCCTACAGGTACCTACTGCATTGCAATGGAAGGGGCTGAAAATACTTTTTTATACCAGATGAAAGGAGGGCAGTGCAGGAGCTTTAGTGCCTCTGTTGAGTGTAATGGTATACTTGCCAATATATGGCTATTTTCTTTCATATAATTACTGAGAGGACTAAGGAGGCTATGGAGGAGAGACACTGGGAAAGGGAAGAAGACAATGCAAAGAAGCAGGCACTGGTTTTAAGTTCCTGATTTTCTGTTTTGGTTCCAGAGGCTATTAGAACAATCTGTATAGGCTATTTGTATCGTAGCTATTTGTTATAGGTAGTCAAGGCTATTTTTGATGTAGACAGGCACCTTTTTCTATTGCTATGAAATAGAAAAAGTGCCCCCTTTAGACGTTAGGGAATCAAATGTGCTTGGTGGCATGAACAATATCTGCCTGTTTCATCTGATTATACTGGGAGCAAATGGATGTTAAACTTCTGACTTCCATGCCCGAGCTGACGGTGTGTACACCGTATCAAAGTCATATGCATTATGTTTGTATTAGTGTCCTGAGATGTAGGAATGTGGAGACTGACTTTAAGTTTTAAAACCAGAGAATACTTTAATTAAAACACGTAAACCTTCAGGTCGATGTCTCTTGCACTTAACTCTTTCTAAAAATTAGAGTTCCACATTTATGATACCAGTTTAAAAAGTTTTATTTTCATGGGTTTAGGTCTGACTGAGAAGTGTATCATCAAATGGGCTGCATCCTTTTTGATACATCTTATTCAGCCCATGTTCTGGTTTTGGCTGGGATAGTTAATTTTCTTCATAGTAACTAGTGTAGGGCTATGTTTTGGATTTGTGCTGAAAACAGTGCTAATAATTAAGGGATGTTTTCCTTACTGCTGAGTAGGCCTTCCACAGAGTCAAGGCCTTTTCTGCTTCTCACCCCACCCCACCAATGAGTAGGCTGGGGGTGCACAAGAAGTTGGGAGGAGACGCAGCCGGGACAGATGACCCCAACTGACCAAAGGGGTATTCCAGACCATATGATGTCTTGCTCAGTATATAAAGCTGGGGGAAGAAGAAGAAAGGGGGGACGCTCAGAGTGATGGCGTTCGTCTTCCCAAGTAACCATTATGCATGATAGAGCCCTGCTTTCCTGGAGATGGCTGAACACCTGCCTGCTGATGGGAAGTGGTGAATGAATTCCTTGCTTTGCTTTGCTTGCGTGCGTGGCTTTTGCTTTACCTATTAAACTGTCTTTATCTCAGCCCATAAGTTTTCTCACTTTTACTCTTCTGATTCTCTTCCTCATCCCACTGGAGGGGAAGCGAGCAAGCAGCTGTGTGCTGCTTAGTTGCTGGCTGGGGTTAAGACATGAAAACCAAAATAAATCAGATACAGACAGTTATTCCCAGAATGACTGAAATAATAGGTTTCTTTTCTTAAAGCTAAGTGTCTGGTCTAAGTCTGACAAAAAGATGGAGATGCATTTTTACAGAGTATGCTGGAAATTGGGGTAGTCATATACTCTACTTCTGTCAATAGCAGTGTTTAAATAACTATCTTCAAATGACCCACAAGCGAGTAAGTGTTTTGAAAAGGTTTGATCCACTGGATGATAAATACAGGGAACCAACTGTGAGACAGGTGGTATAGCACCATATTCACTTGAAGTTGTTTTAAACAGTAAAACCTGAGGCTTTGTCGAAGAACCATTGGTGATGAGTGTTTTGGGGTCCAGCATACAGGAAAACACCGGGTTGCCAGGATTTGCACAGAGAGGCAGATGAGGAGATTGGTTTTGCTCTGTGTTCAGACTTGATGGCAGTTTCTCAGCAGAAGTCATCTTCTTTCCCTAGTAAGGAGATGGATTTTAATTCAGCCTTTCAAATAACAGGGCAAAGCATTTCAAATCTGTTAGATGTTTGTGGTCAGAGCAAATGTTGCTCAAGATACATATTGAAATATATGCACAGTGGAGAGTGAGGAACTTAATACTGCTGACTTTTGACCTTATTTCGTAAACTGTGGATGGTGATAAATGGACTCGTGTTGACTATGAAGTATAGTAAAAATTGGAATTTGCATCAATTTCTGCATTAGTGATAATGTTGAGCATAGAAAATATCTTAGTTTGTGTGGCAGAAAAAATTAGTATGGATAATAAAAATATGAATGAGAGGGACTTCTCTTTTTCTAATACACAGCGATATGTATGCTAAAGTAGAGTAAAGAAATGTCCAAATGACTGTACTTCCTTGCTCGTGTTCACATGCATGCATTTTTATTTATTTTCCTCTGTAGGACTGAAGTAGCATATGACAGCTACTTCTTAGTGTGTTCATGGAAAGTGCCCTAACGCGGTATTGATGAGCATGCAGTAAAACTGCACTGAACAAGGTACCTCCCTTAGTTTTGCTGAGCAAGCCATTCAAAACCTGTTGTTCTTCAGAGGTGCAATGAAATCTTTTTTCTTTGTTTCTCAATCATGTAAGAGATGAAGAAAACATTTAAGTTGCTAGCTTAGATAGAACAGTAATAGCTGAATATTATTATTATTATTCAGTAGTAGCTGAATAACAGAATAGCTTAGATCAGTAAGAAATTCTGACTTTCCCTTTACTTTGTTTATTAATGAGGCCTGTTGTCGCCTCCTGTTTATTTTTTGCACCAGCATTAGAGCACTGCTGGGGCCTAAATCTCTGGGCTTTAGGATCTACTCTGTTAGTGTTGTGCCTGTTAATGAGATGTGGTCTGGGTGCGTGGTTGGGGTCAGAGCTGCCTTACCCCCAGTCACGAGTGGCTCTCAGGAAAGGACAGCTTCTCCTGAAGCGGGATGGCTGCAGGCGTCTGATTCCGATCCTGTGCTGTTGGGAAACTTTCCAAATCAGTTAATTCACAGTCATCAGAGTTTTTCCGCCTGTCCGAGACTAGAGGGATCAAACACTTCTAGTCCATATACTGCATCCTTTTTTTTGTGTGTGTGTGTGGAGGGGAGCTTATGGAGCAGTGGGGTGTTCTTGGGTGGTTCTTTTTTGTTTTTGTTTTGTTTTGTTGTTTTCTTTCCCTTAGTACAAGCATTATTGGCACGTAACGGAGCGTGTCCCTTCAGGGCTGGCTGTCCCTTTGCCTGGTTACCCTGCGATGACATCTGAACCACGCTCCCGGCGCCGGGGGTGCCTCTGAGCTCCCTTCCCCGGGGACGAACACCGCCACCGGGCGCCCCGCGGGCGCGCCCGCCCCGCTGCCCTCGCCCCTCTCGCGTCGCCCCCGCGCCTCCTCCGCACGAAGCTCTCCCG